AAAAAAAAAAAAAAAAAAAAAAAAAAAAAAAAAAAAAAAAAAAAAAAAAAAAAAAAAAAAAAAAAAAAAATCTACGGGTCTATCCGCTCAAGTCTAGTAATGGTTTATTCGATTAATACCTTAATAGCAGTAAAAAGGGTCCCCTTGATATTTGCTGCAATCAGTAACGTAAAAGTGAAATAAGTAAAATATTCAAGTGGGGTGGGAACAAACAAACCTCCAAAGTGTCTAGATAACATGCTTTGTATTAGTTGAGTTAGGCTTAATTCGGCAAAATAAGTAAATGGTCGAGATAACATGCTTTATAAGTAAATTTCTATGTTTCAACCACAAGGACATGGGTGACATTGCATAAAAAATAGAAGCAAACAGTTAAACGGAAAACAATATTGTAGATTGATATAACTTACATAAAAATTCAGATCGCTGTCTGCGCTGTATTAAATCAGCAGCAAAAGCCGGTTCCACCATATGGTCAGAGCTCACAAGTAATCCCTAAGAAGAGGTCGAAACTGGCAGAAACTCATAATCACTTCATTCTAACTCATTCAAGCTCATGTACAAATGTTTGATCGTTCACTCTGTTCTTACATTAGGAGTTCTAAGCAACAATCAATTGCAGTGCACTAGTCGAATTAATTCACTCGCCAAACACATTTCTCTCGGCACGGAGAAAAGAATGTAGAAATTCAGAAGAATAAAAAAAGAAATAGCTCTCACCAAGGCAATCGTACCACCGAAACCTTGAAGAACATCTCTTCTACTAAACCGATCATCGTTGCTAGCAATAGCATCCGTTTTGATCTGACCACAACGAACTCTAGCCTGAAATTTCACACGACAGAATCTGCAATCAGCCATCAATTACTATAAGAATGCGGTTCGCATCAACAACGAAAGCAAAGACTTACAGTGTGAAAGGGATGTGCAGTAGCGGGGGAAATGGCGGTTCGAGGAGGAAGAAGAGGAAGAAAAGAAGGCACGGAAGAGAGAAAGGAGACCGCCATTGCCGAGTGGCTAGCTGCTGAGAGCTCTCTGTAATTCGAAGGCGAGGCTATGGAAGGAGATGGAACGATGAAAGAGAGAACACCGGGAAACAGGAGATTCCTAAGGCGCTATATTTGTGGATACTCAGAGTTTGTGACCATATCCTGATCCACACTTGGATGCATCCACGTGTCCTCCACGTCATTCGACTGCGGACCCATCACCGTATCATTTGTTTCGGGCCAATTCTTGCAAATATCAAATTTAATACAAAATTTAAAATGCATTTCAAGTATATAAACAATCTGTTACATGTTATAATAAAATATTGTAAAAAGTAATTTTAAGGATTAATGATATTTAAGTCTTTTATTTTCTCTTAATTTTGATAAAAAAAAAAAAAAAAAAGATTTAAACCAATAAAATATAATAGTATTAAGCATTTTTGTGAGAGAAATATAATAGCTTCTAAAAAAATAAATATTTAAGAAATTCAAGTTAAATGTTATTAAATCATAAATTAAATCAGCCCTCTAATAAATCCATATAAAACTTGAATTTCTATTTTTAAATTTGATTTAAGAAATTAAATATTTCTTTAATAAAGATAAAATCTATAATAAAAAACAGAAACCAAAATTCAAATGAGCATCAATCTACCAACTAAAATCCTTTGGTTCTCCTAATAAAGTCAACCCGTCAGTCGGGACGTTACTAAAAAATGCAGCTACTCGATCTAACTACCAAACTCGATGAACATATAGAAGTAATCAACAAAACGATAATCGAAAACAATGGCGTACTTCTGTGATATCTCCAAAAACACAAGCTGAATTCTAATATGTTATATATATATATCTTCACACCAAACAAAATTGATGGGTAGTGGCCAGTAAAATGGACTAATTTGAGAGAGGTTGGGACTAATTTCTTGTACCCCTACTACTTCTTCTTGATGTGACTTGAACCCATCCATCTTCAGCTGGAGCTGAGGCCTCTGGACGGGGCTGCTGATTGACAGCCCTGGGTTGTTGTTGTATGGCATCCACCATCATATCATTTCTCATGCCATCGCTTCCATTTCCAACATCACCATCATCATCATCATCATCTTCTTCTTCTTCTTCTTCTTCATCACTCATAGCCTTAAAATTAATCAATGCCAAAATTAGATGATAATGCCAAATCTTTGTTCTTTTTGTACAATGAATGAAAGATTCTCTAAAAATTGCAAGTTTTTTCACCATAAGCTATGACAATGTAGACCAAGGAATATCAAACACTACCAAAATCACACTATTGAATAACGAGTTCCTTCTCAACATATACTTTTTGCTTCAAAATCGAGCTACGAAAGAACCGATCGACTGGTTAGGACAAAAATTCACATTACCTGACTAACATGAGAATGAGCACCTCGTGGAAGAGGGGATTGTCTTAACCTTCCGATAGAGCTAAAGTTGCCATCCACACACTCCTCGTGCATGAAAATCAATTTTTCAGCAACCTGCACCATTAGGGAGAAAACATTATTTAGAGTAAATAACTCAAATCTCGAACGAGCTACATGATAGTAACATATTTTACTTCTCAGAGATGATTTTAAATATGAGACATTAATAAGAGTAAATACACGAATTCTGTTTTTATTCGGTATCTCATTTTTTTTCTGCTTCAACCAAGTATTCTAACAAAAGAGATAGAGAGCAACAAGGTGAATGTGGAGCAGGTATAAAGTGCGACTAGACAGATCTATTAGAAATTATGAACTTTTTAAGTGCTTTTCCAGTCAACTCCTACAGAACATAAAAAATGACAACAAAGAAAATAAATTCACTTCGAGCGTAGATGTAAAAAGTTATTAGATTCGAAAACTAACGAACTACATTGTGTTGCACTAGGTTGTTATTTATACCATCACCGCAGTCTTCCAAGCATCTATCTTCTGAAGTTAGCCATAACAAATAGCTAAAAGTTTAATAGGATATCGAACTATTCCAACCAAAAGCATCACGCAACGGGACTCTTAAGACGTGGAATCAAAATTTTCAAAATACCTCTAACAGAACTCAATTTTCACAAGTCACAATGAAAACCATCCAGAATCAAATCAGGTAGAAAAGTCATCCATCAACAGTAATTAGCAACTAGTAAACAACTAAACTCAATATACAATAAATTTATTTGATTAAGAGAATAAATTTCACCAACACAGTTCAAACAAATATTTGTATTAACTGTCTTAAAATAACGGCATGCTATTAACCTTAGTTCTGAAAAAGAGGGCTTAACTCAAAGACAAACAAGGATCAAGAGCGGTATAAAATATACCTCCTCAATGCTACCATCATCAACCTGAGTGTTCAACGAAAGCATAGTTTCATCAAGAATCATTTCTAAGTCATCGATATATAGTGTCTCTGCAAGATAAAAATTGCAACTTTTTCAGATAGAAAAAGCAATATGAAGTACTGAAATGAGAAACGACAAAAATGTTATGCTTTCATGGTATAAAGTTCCAACACAAATCAACTATCATCTAGAAAAGTTGAAAATAATTTGAACTAAATGAATTTCTTCAAGGAAGAAAATTCAGATCATTAATTGACCAAACCGAACATCAAAGAAAACATCGTGATGTGAATAGAAATCATACAAATAATCTCACCCAGTGTTCTTTATAGCCCAAGGCACACAAAAGCACTATATCCGTTATAGCCCTTTAAGGCTTAAGGCTTAAAGGTAAGAATTAGGCTTGAGGAGCAACACCTCAAGCACGCTTCATTAAGGGAACGTTGCTTCTTTGAAGCAAGGCGCACGCCTCAGTGAGCTTTATAAGACAATGATCTCGTCGTTTAATGGATTCCTTTTTTATGTTTATAGTAAAACAAAGTATTTTAATTGTTTGCAACATTAAACAGTGCATAAAGATGGTACCAATATTATTCAAGTGGGAGGAGCAAATCACCTTTGTTCTGCGTAAACCATGTAAAAATATCAGAGCACAATAGTTCAACTTTACGACGAGAGTCACGACCACCCCACTCATTGTCCACCGCCAACTGAAGAGCTGACCAACGAGATAAAACCAACCCGATACCTTCCTGGAACAATGGAAAAGCATCAGCTGGGAGAAGGCGATTTCCGCCACCTTCCATCTCTCCACCTCCGCGCGTAAAACCCTAAAACCCCAATTACCAAAGCACATATAGGTTAACAAGAGTAATCTTCTTGTATGTATATCATGCCATTATCAAAGAACATAACAAGGTAACAATCAAAACAAATTCTCTTCCCCTTTTGATTTCAACCAAGTGGGGAATTTCAAAGAAAATCGTGTGCCAACAACGAGTTGCAGTGCAGAGCTTATCAATCGTACAGAAATTCATTCTCTCTAAAAAAAAACTTCACAATTGACAATATGGTTTCATAATGTAAATGGAACGAACGCGAGAGAGAGATTTGTTGCATCATTGCTCACTTCGAATCGTTCGTGAGACGGAGAAAGATAGCAAATCCGAAACAAACATTCAATCAGCAAAGCAAATCCTAAAAACAAACATATTATTATGAACGAACCTCGATGAAATTGAGAGCCGTGAACGAAATTGGAGCTGCGATTGGATTCAGAGAACAGTTACAGGATATTGGTGAGCCCTAAGCAGAAAGCACAAGCATTTACTTAAAGAGGAAAAGTAAAAAAAAAAAAAAAGTAATATCATATTGAATCGCAATATTTAGTTAAATTTAAATCTAATAAATTAATAAAGTATTCTTATATTTTTTACACATGCACATTTATTTATTTTTTAAAATAAACATTTAATAGTAAAACGTGAGAAAATTGGGCTTTAATTTATAAATTTAATCCCTAAATTTTAAGCTTTGTAGAGATTTAATTTTTAAATTATAAATTTAGTGTTTTAACTTTTATTTTAAAAAAATCAATTTTATCAAATTATAACTAATATATTAATTAATTTTAAAAAACGATTTTATCCCAAACCTAAATACAAAATTGGAAATTAAAAAAATTATTATAAAAAATGGAAAGTTTAGAAGTGATTAAATAATTAAAGTAATTATTATTTTCTAAATATAATGATCATCTTTGTTTATTAATATATAAAAAAAAGGCAATTTCTTTGCAATTTGCATAAAAAGGAAGCATCGGTGTTCATGCCCTTCTAGACTTTTCTTTTGTACGGCCAACTTTCGTTATTTCTTGCAAAAATAAAACTAATTTAAGGTTATTCATGCCCTTTTAGACTTTTCTTACGCAAATATTCATGCAAAAATAGCTTAAATAATTAATATATATATAACTATTTTTTTTCTAAGTCCAAAGTTTTTCTTAAACAAATATATATTTTTCTACCGAAAAAATTATTTTATTGTTTAATTCTCTATATTTGATAGCAAAATTGTTAGATGAACTCTGACTCTCCGTAATGATATTATATAGTATCATGTCCATAATCAATCGATGCTCGACTCATTTTTTTCTTTTTGGAGTATTAAAATGCTTTCGAGACTCACACTACTTTTGTTCGACTTTGAGGATTCTATTCATAGGACTAAGTTTAGTGGAGGGCTGTGATATCATGTTAGATGAACACGACTCCCCACAAATAGTATGATATTGTTCAAGTATAAGCTCTCATGATGTTGCTTTGGACTCCCAAAATGTCTCACACCAATAGAGGTAGTATTCATTGATTATAAACTCATGAAATTATTCCTTAATGAAATTGTTATTTACGACCTTAATTAATAAATCAAATGTTTATCAACATAATTATTCATTTTATTAATTGAATAATTATTCAATTTTTAGCTTGTAGTTGTGTTCATACTTCTAGATCTCATAGAATAGCTTGATGGGCAGATGATTTTCTTTTTCCTCTTAAAATTTAAATGGGGCGTTTTGAAAAATTAAAGCATTTATTTGAAGAAAGTAGAAAAAGAGAACGAGTAATAATAAACAAAATTTAAAAAATTTAAAGAACAAAAATGATTGAAGAAGGGGAATCTTAAAGCCTAAGACATCGTCGAATAGAAGCCAATTTCTTCGCTAATTCGTATGGATTATTTACATGTTTAATCAAACAAAA